GTACCGGAGTTCACTTGAACCGTACCCCAGACCACCCTTTTTAAGCGGACTCGGGTACGGTTCGCGGGTGCGCACCCAAGTTCGGAAGACAGCGTTCACATCATCCAAACGAACCAAACTCTGATGTCAATCGAACCCGGGTGCGCACCAAAAGTGCTAGTGTGAAAGCACCCTTAAATAGAACCTGTCTGATAAAGTGAAGCATGCTTAAAGAGCAACACATCATGCCGCGATCTAAAGAAATTCAAGAACAGATGAGAAACAAAATAGTTGACATGTATCAGTCTGGAAAGGGTTATAAAGCCATTTCTAAAACTTTGGGACTCCAGCAAACCACAATCAGAGCCATTATTCACAAATGGAGAAAACTTGGAACAGTGGTGAACCTTCCCAGGAGTGCTGGGGCCTACCAAAATTACTCCAAGAGCGCAACGGCGACTCATCCAGGAGGTCATAAAATAACCCAGAACAACATCTAAAGAACTGCAGGCCTCACTTGCCTCAATTAGGGTCAGTGTTCATGATTCAACAATAAGAAAGAGACTGGGCAAAAATGGCATCCATGGGAGAGCTTCAAGGCAAAAGCCATTGCTGACCAAAAAGAACACAAAGGCTCGTCTCACATTTGCCAAAAAACATCTTGATATCCCCAAGACTTTTGGGCAAATATTCTGTAGACTGATGAGACAAATGTTGAACTTTTTAGAAGGTGTGTGTCCCATTACATCTGGTGTAAAACCAACACAGCATTTCATAAAAAGAAAAATGGGTTCTATCTACAGATGTTTATGAAATGCAAAAACTATGAAGCTCAATATCTCAAAATTGCTCAGAATGCAGATAGAACCTTATAATTCCAAGGGGCCGATGTAGTAAAATAAACTGATTTAACATTAATATTGAATATAGATGACAATATATTGAGTACATTTTCGTGGTTGGTTATAGAGGACAATTTCAATTTGACACTTATTTCCCACAAGCAAACAGTCTGCAGATAACCAGAAACACTTCACTTTGAATCATCTTGATTGCCTTATTTAATTTTCTCCAGTAACCTCTGCATATACAACCAGAATCACACAAGAGATTCAGCTGAATTAATCTCAAATGAGTCAAATGAATTATTTCCAGCTCAGAAATGCAGTCTCATTTGATGATTTGCACACAGTAAATCCTTTAAAACAGGTGATGCATGAACTACCACCACTGTGCCTTTGAGCGAAGCAATTTAAAGGTCATTTCTGTGATCATTTCTCATGCTGTACCAAGCATATGACTTTCTTTCCTCTTTCCTCTTAAAAACAAGTGTTTTAAAGCATCTCAAAGCTTCTCCTGTCTAGGTATATATGCACAATATATGCATATTATGACCAAGATATGTTAAGCTCCAAACAAGGCTTATTAACAGACAAATTGCAAATATGCAAAATATGAATGCATGTTATTAAAAAAATATATGGATAGGCTATGTTGTGTTCAATGGTTTAAAAACAAGAGACTGAGTATAGAATAACATAATTACAATTTTTGGTGTTATTTTAGTATCAATGATAGACTGTGTAATATAAAGTTAATTTTTTATTTTGTAAGGGAATTAATTATTATTATTTTAGCTCAGGTTTTGAGAGGAATCGAATCTGAAGATTCGAAGTCAACCTGATTAGAACTGATTTCAAATTTGATAGTTTACACTTTATCAACTGTTCGTCCAGCGAGACGCTAACGTCCGTGTATCTTAACAATTTGAATATTTGTATTATCCCTGACCACAGGTTAATACATGCTTGTGATAAGTTATGAGCTACGAGCTAGGTAACGTGATCTGGGCAAGGTTTAACTTTAAATTCACGACACAAGACAATGATTCTTTATAAATTAAACAAGAATTTATTGGCTATTCTAGATGACATTAAACTAAGCTAAAACACACACACACACACACACACACACACACACATACACACAAAAGGTTCAGGAAAATGAGTTAACTGGATGACGTAGTTTCTGGGAATGCCCTCCGGAGATTGGTTGGTTTCCTGGTGACGCAGAGGCTTTGGCAGTTCTTCTGAGAGAGTCTAAGTTTGCAAGACTTTAGGCTTTCAAAGATCTCTGGCATTCACGAAGCTTCAACGAAGTGTTTGAGTTCTGGATGACCGATCGCTTGATGGTGCAGCTTGTGAGCGCAAGTTGGAGCGCGATTAACACAAAGGCCAAAAGGCCAAAAGGCCTCGTTCGGGAGAGCAAGCGGCGAAAGAGCACCGAATCTGTTTTGCAGTGGGTTTTTGATCCGCTGCATAAGTCCGTCCCACGGCGCGATCTTCCAATCGACTTCTTGCAAGGCGGAGCGTGCATACATTAACAAGAGGATTTATGCGTTAAACGGTCATGGGGTCCGGGCGTGTCTGTCGCTGGAACATTTCCAGATACCATGTTCTTTGTTCTGTTGTTTATTAGATGGTTTATTTATGCTGAAGCCGGTCAACGTTACACTGCACATCTGGTCCTCGAAGGGTCTTCAGACAGAGGGAGTTTCTTCTCTCCTGGTGATTGAGTTAGGGTTTAAGCAGTTCCGATCCCCCTAAGGGATACGGACCAGGCCTTGACCAGAAGCAGGTCCAGACAGTTTGGTACCCTGTTGATCATTGATCTTCTTTACGACTGCAGATAGCTGGGGAGGAGAATCTTTAGTTTTCCGGTGGAATGTGAAGATTCAATCGTTCATTTGTGTCTGTTCGCAGAGGCCCTACAACTGTTTTATTGATTTTTTTTTAATTAGATTTTATTTAAATATTTTGTTTTCACTTTAAAGTGGTATTAATTTATTAGTTCTTTATTACATTTTTTTACACTTATATAAATATATTTTTTTCTGTCTATATAGTTTTTTATTACTATTTTATTATTTTAATTTCAGTTTTAATTATGTAGGGTATCAGACCGAATCAGACAATTTAAGATTTGATCAAGAACATGGTTGAAACACGAGGAGCCGAATTCCACAGAAAGACACAAGACACAGGATGTCCGTAAATCAGATCCTGGCGCCACAAGCCTGAAGCAAGTCCACCAACTTAATGTCTTAAACTGCCAATCTTGTTACTGTGCTAATTAATAGTGTTTTCACTATATTTTGGATATTAATATATTTTATATTTTATATAATATATAATATTATATATAATTTATATAATATTTTATATAATATATAATATTATATATATTTTATATAATATATATTTTTTTTTTTATATATTTTTTTACATTTTACCTTATTTGTATAATTGTATAGTTGTATTTTATATTTAATCTG